TGCATTTAGATCATCACCCCCCCCCCCCTCCCAATAAGTCTCAAAGGGCTCCCACAGTGAGTGCGCCCATCCTATTGCGTCAGCGGTTCCCCGCCCCGTCCCCGCCCCGTCCCCTCCCCCCAGATCCGCTTCCAAGCCTAGCGAGATCACCGGACGCCGGTTATCCCCTTGGCATGAAATCCTGCTGACGTCCCTGGCTTCGTCAATAGTTTTAAGATGACCTTGCTGTTCAGAAATGTGGTTTCAAAATCCCCATGCCTTCTCCATCCTTCCAGTGTGCTCATGTGTGACATTTCATTCATTACTGTGCGTTTTCGAGTTGTCCTAGCAGTGACCGCGACTTGGCCTTCGCCGTCATAAGCGTCATACCATATCTCGGGGCCGCAGAACTCAGCGAGACCCTGGCGAGAATGTGGAAGTTAAAAGCCCGGCCAGATATCTTACAGTAGCCGCTTCACCTGTTCGTACATGGTTAAAGTGATCCTCGATTGTCTGGTTGCAGGAGGCTACAGGCAGATAATGTGCATTGTTAATGAAGCATCAGCGAACCAGATTCATTATTGCAACTGCTTATCGTTGGTTGTTGGCTGATGAATCAGTTTCATTAATATGAATGCTCAATGTTGGTTCTTGGCTCTTGCAAACAACAAAACCATTACCTTCCTTCAGATATTCTACCTCCTGGGCCAATTTTTGTCAATTTCTCTTAACATTTTCTCATACTTTTAAAATTTAACCCGATTGTCTTGAAAGGATGATATCGGGTTTGAAGTACGTGCTAAGCATAGCTTGCTGCCTGCATCCTGACCCCCACCCCTGCCCCCAATAACGCAATTCCAACCGGGCAGTTATTTTCGCCTCCGGCCTTTTCTCCCGACAGGAGGGGCCTTTATCGCGTCATGCAATGTTGTGTCCACGGCCGCCCCGGGCGAGGTTGACCGTATTTGGCCAGTTGCCAGCTGACGTCACGCCAGGCCAATCAGCTCTCTGATGGCCGGGCCAATCAGCTCTCTTTTCTGACACTCAAATCCGGCTCCAACGGACTGCCGAGCCCGCCATCGTGCCCCTCGGCCACGGGGCCGGCGTCGCGACGGCGGCGCCGAGATGCCGACCTTAGTGACGTAGTGCTTAGTGCTTGTATGGTCTCACAATTAAATTGCTCCAAGCTCGTGGTGCAGTCTTTTATCTGAACAAGTACGTCTACGTAAGCATTTGAAGCTCTCCTTTTGTCTTTTCAGTTTGGTAGTTTTTTGTCTTATGGTATGGTTTTGTCATAACCTTGTAGATTGATTTATCTCTCGCATGTTGTGTTCGTGTATACGAGGAGGGCGGGGGGGGGAGGGGTACAGCGGCGATATGTGCTTGACATCACCATAACCCATTGGCCACGCTAGACGTTAGCTTACAGCCTGGCTGGACGTACACTGGCTGGACGCACACTGGCTGGACGCACACTGGCTGGACGCACACTGGCTGGACGCACACTGGCTGGACTCACACTGGCTGGACGCACACTGGCTGGACGCACACTGGCTGGACGTACACTGGCTGGACGCACACTGGCTGGACGCACACTGGCTGGACGTACACTGGCTGGACGCACACTGGCTGGACGCACACTGGCTGGACGCACACTGGCTGGACGTACACTGGCTAGACGCACTTTCACGCTGCGTGTCTCCATGTATAACAGTTGCTGAACCCCCGCGTTAGCGGGGTCTTAGAACCGCGGCCCTCATTTTTTTTTTTGCAGGCCATGTCAAAACGCGTCGGCTTACGCACCTGAACCCTTACAGACGGCGGCCGATTGGATGTGTCATAGTGGTGATATGTATCGCTCAGTGTTAAAGGCGGTCTACACCAGCCTTTACAATGTCCTAGGAGCGCGTCCACACACCTTGCGATTGACGCGCAAGGTGGTGGCGAGTCATGAGTTTTTTGTTACACGCTCACGCACATGCGCAAAAGCCGCTCTCCACACACTTTGCGATTGACGCGCAAGGTGGTGGCGAGTCATGAGTTCTTTGTTACACATTCACGCACATGCGCAAAAGTCGCGCTCCCAGCCGCTACGGGCTTTCGAATATATTTACGCATGGTTCGGACGAAATTAATTGCTGTCTGTTTAAACGTCTTGAATGCTAAGAATGCTATAACATCCAATGACACCCATGCCCGATAACTGACCGCAAGCCGCTGGATCCCGAAGCTCAAGTAACCTTTATTCCCAGCTTAATGGCTTTACTCCTCATTCTTGAATGTGGCATTTCACTTTAACCTGGCAAACTTGCCAAAGAAGATTGAGCACTTCCGATGTCGTTGCGATAAAGCCAAATCGTCTACCGCTTCTCGTCTCCTCCCTCCTCTCCAAATCGTACTCGCCTCCCGTATCCTGCCGTCTGTCTGTATGTCTGTATCGTCTCTTGCCCCTCGCCTCCCCTGCTCTGTCTGTCCGTCTGTCTCGTCTCTTGCCTCTCGCTTCCCCACTCTGTCAGTTTTGTCCACTCTCGTCTGTGCCCTCTCGTTTTTTTCGTCACTCTCTCGCTCTCACTCTCACTCACTCGTCACCCGGTCACTCTCTCTCCGTCTCTCGCACTTCTTTGCTATTCCGTTTCTCTTCCTTTCCCTCGCCTCTCCCCTGTCATCCCCTCACCGTATTCCCCCATTCCCTCCCCTCGCCGCCTCTTCACTCCACCTTATCTCGCCTCACCTCACCTTAACACGCGCTCGGGTGGGGGTCAAATTGACCCCCCGAAAGTTTTTCCAGAATAGTTTCCGAACAGCGAGGCGCAGCCGCGCCACATCTTGCATGATTGTAGAAAATTGAATAGCGGATCGTTTGGCATCAAAAATTTAGATGTACCTTGTAAGGTCACTGACCTATAACAGGCCAAAGTCAGGTCAGGGTTTCAGCAAAATCAATTTCTAGACAATCGTTCAATCTGGTGCAACAACGGAGTAGACCAAGCCAAACATTTCTGAGATACTTTTTTAGGTAACACCAATTTTAAATGACCGAATTACGTTGACCTGGGTCAGGTACAAAGATCAGCCCAAGGTCACCATCAGCCTATTTTTTACACGAGGGATTGGAGAATGGGATAGCTTCTGGTGCACATTTTGAATTTATTGATAGCAGGAGCCACATTATACATCTTCCATGGACTTCTTAGAGGTCAGGATAGATCAGTGACCCGGGTCAAAATTTTGTTATTAGAAAAATTGCCGAGCATTATCTTTGTCGCTTATTTAACTCCAAAATGGTAGCCTTGTATGATTTTGATCACCATGACCTTTGAAGTGTCAGATAAGGTCACTGACCTTAACTAGCATGTGGAATTTTGCTTAGAAACGGCTATCTAGACTCTGGGGCGCTTTGGAGACCAACCTAGAAGTTGACATTGTTTTACCTTATTTAACCCATAGGTCATGACCTAGGAACCCTTAACTTTGACCCAAGTGAGTTCACGTGTAGGCCAACACATCCTGTGAATTTGGCGTCTTTAACTCTCTTAGTTTCCGAGATCTCAAGAAGGTCAAGTTGACCCCCACCCGGGCGGAGGGTATCTAGCCGGCCACCCGGGCGCGTGTTAACTCACCCCACCCCCGCTTGTTTCTTGGATGGTACAATACGCGCACGTGGTACGACCAGTAAAACAGTCTATCCTCCAATCCATTTGTAATTTCAGATAACGCAGCGAAGACGCTGCCCTGGCTCCTTAAAGAAGGGAAAAGGCATTCGTAGCATTAGACGTAACTTGCGCGAACATCCGGAGTCAGCGTCCTGAATTTGCGGTAATGCTCAAGTGCCGGGTGGTCTCTGCATGCATGAGTGAGGAGGAAGCTCTCCTTTTTTGGGTCGTCTCACTCTTTGTGTTTTGTTATAAGTATGCCCGGTGCTGCGTGACTGGAATGCTTCTGGCGAAACATGCACTGGGAATCAACGTGCAGCTCTGCAAATCTGCCGAGAGGCTGATGCAGGGCATCTGGGCCCAGGGGGGGGGGGCAGGTTCCAAAAAAGGTCACAAAGGGCCGCGCCCTTTTGTGATGGCCGCACTGCTCGGCTGAGAAGAAGCTGAGAACATTTGTGGCCAGGGAGGCGATTCTGACGTGTTTTTTTTTCGCATGTGGTCGGATATGTGGTTTGATGCGGTGTGCACGTGAATGATGGTCGACATGCAGTTACATCAGCAAATGGCATTACTTTAAGACTAAGCGGTGGGAAGGCCGCAAATCAGATCATGGAGGTGGCGGATACAAGACGCGTCACAAGCGAGTGTTAACGGTGTTAAGGAAGTCGCCTGGAGGCGCCAGAGAGGCCTTCGGAGAGAGTTACGGTCGAGTTTTGGCGGCGTTCGCAGTGATAATGCTGGCGTCTGAAGGGTGTTTCTACGGGGTCTCACGAGGACGGTCTGTTTGGGTGGACAAACTCGACGTCATCAGGATTTTATGTGCGTTCTGCAGGGGTCATGTCCGCGTTAACAGAGTATTTGCTTCGAGATTGGCAGAGTCAAACGCCGCTCAGCCGGGCGTTACGTGGATCATGGCACCCCTTGAGCTGGTGTTGCAAGGGATAGAAAATGCGATACTCCAGGAAAGGAGTCATGGTTTCTCTCTGGTCACGTGGGTGCGTCGGTTTAACATTCCAGTGTTCGAAATTCAGGCGATTTGGCTCGCGTGATAACTTTATCCTTTGACTTCCGCTTCCTGTTATGGGCTGCCTGTTACCACGATTTAGCAAGAAAGATGTCCAGTTGCGTCATGTGGTAGCCGCACACAGCCAGACAGAATGCACGCCACTTAAGAAAAGATGCTTAATTAAGTTTTTTGTTGCAAGTGAGAAGACGTCGGAATTCAGGATCAAAAAGGATAACTGAGGTCCCGCGGACCGGTTTTCTGTTCCACAGCTGCCATGGCGGTTATTGGTGTCGCTGACGTAAAAGGCGCTGCGAGAGGACTGGATAGCGGCATTGTCGGGAGTAGCACAGCGGCGTCGGAACCGTGACCAGGGCAGTGACGGTGAGTGACGCCTCTGGAGCGAGTCCGTTGCCACCACTGGGGCAGCTGAGTGCGTCGACGCAGGGGATCCAGTCTGTCCAAGAGGAGGAGGAGGGATACCTGAAAGCGTTAAATAGACGGACGCCTCTGGCGAAGGAGACGGTGAGTTGGCGCGCTGTACGGTCAGACGACTGGGTGCAAACAAATAACGCCTTGGTCCGGTGGCTGTTCAACACTATGGCTTTGGAGTTCTTGCGCTGAGGATAATTGACCTTCCGTTTGTCAGAAGTTGCTCGCTGAACAAAGGTTTTTTGTGTTCAGACTGCAGACAGTTCGAAGGTCGACATTTCGTAACGTAACTAAGGCTCGCTTACTAGCGTCGTTGGACAAATATTTGTTGGCACATTTAAGATCAGCTGTTGTTAACGTAAGCACTGCCGACCAAAGTGCCGAACAGCTTAAAGCTCACGGGCGTTTACTCTCATACTGAGCACAACGTGTGTACAAAAGAAATGGCCCTTTTGAAAACCTGTTACCAAAAACATGCACGTGCTTAAGAATGAGCTGTTTTCCATATTAAGCTTATGCAGAGTATACTCTTTCCGTGATACCTTAACAAAAGCAATGTCTGCGCAGACTGAGGAAAATTTCTTTGCTAACGTGTCTTAGTTTTCACACGTGATCTGTTTTGTTAATCGAGTTCCCTCGTCACCATAAGCACTGTTCTGATGCGTCAAACCTTCTCAATACAGCCCATGTTTTCTCAATGCCGGTTTTCTCTAGTCCCTCCTGGTATGCTGAAGGTCGGTTAATGCCAAAACATAAACCCTGAGCTCACCCACAGCCTGCCGCACTTCAGACATCTGAGAGCCAAGAGCCGTGGGTGGCACATCCAGAACAATGCATCTGAGAAATGTGACCATCTTTGTCGCCGGTGCTGTGTGCTGTCTTCTTTTGCAGGTAAGCACACTGCTAGATAACTGCAATAAATATCTTAAGTATTTAAATATTATATATATATATATATATATATATATATATATATTTATAAATGCCTAAATATCGCTAAATCCTACGATACTAGTATAACGTTTACTTCACCGCAACGATGACTTCAAAACAATGTTTTACATTTGTATGGGTTCTAAGCTGAACAGCTATCGCTGATATCATTCACTGCAGCTCGCAGCCCTACTTTCTGAGGCCTTAAACCTCCCCAGCTTCTAAACTGTACGCCCGCAAATGTGTGCGGACCATTTCCGGGAGACAATTTGCAGGTCATTCAGGCCGCTTTAATAACCTCATTCAAATTCTGCCATACCATTAGCCATGCGACGATCAGGACCAATAAAAAGGTACTTAGCGAGTCGTTCATAACTGTTGCTCGTAGGCACCGTTTCCAGATATACCGGCCGTTAATTGGCTCTCAATCCATATTGTGCAAGGCGCAATGACATAATGAAACCATGACGTTTGATGAACATTTTTACTTAACAGAGAAAGTCTGGAGTCTGTCTGAAGCTGAAGAAAGTCTGTCTAGAGCAGTTTTTCACTTAAATGTAAACCAGTAGTTGAATGCGAGTATATTTCATCATATGTGATGCTTGCTTCAGCGTCTTTACATTTGGAACAGCTTGTTTCACCGTTTTATTGTTCGGTTGCGTAAAACCGCCCATACATAACGTCTGCCTGTTTTGCCAGCTACCGCGTTTTGTACAAAATCAAGCATTCTTCAGCTCGTCAGTTTGTTCTTATGAACAAGAGCTGATTAAAAGACAACCATGACATGCCATGTGACAAGACAGACTGATCCTCACAGGCGGTTACAAGAGCCATGAGCCTTATCACCGCCTGGCTGACTTTCGTACCTCGTCCGTAGGCGGGGCCAGCTCGCAGTCTCCATCTCGCGTCAGTATACAACTCTGGGAGATACCCGAGCGCGAGCAACGCCGGCAGAAGCGTCCACCACTCTTCGACATACGACGACAACCGCGGATATTCGAGCGATATCAGCAGAGGTGGCTCCACCTATGGGTCACGCGATATCGATTTCCATGATGAGACAGATTTGCTCGAGCACTACGACAACGATGCCACCTATGGGTCACGCGATATCGATTTCCATGATGAGACAGATTCGCTCGAGCACTACGACAACGGTGCCACCTATGGGTCACACAACTTTGAAAACCGTGATAAGATAGATGCGCTCGAGCACTACGACAACGATGCCACCTATGGATCACATGACATCGATTTCCATGATGAGACAGATTCGCTCGAGCACTACGACAACGATGCCACCTATGGGTTACACAACTTTGAAAACCGTGATAAGATAGATGCGCTCGAGCCCTACGACAACGATGCCACCTATGGATCACATGACATCGATTTCCATGATGAGACAGATTCGCTCGAGCACTACGACGACGATGCCACGTATGGGTTACACAACTTTGAAAACCGTGATAAGATAGATGCGCTCGAGCACTACGACAACGATGCCACCTATGGATCACATGACATCGATTTCCATGATGAGACAGATCCGCTCCAGCGCTACGACAAGGATGCCACCCATGGGTTACACAGCTTTGAAAACCGTGATAAGATAGATGCGCTCGAGCACTACGACAACGATGCCACCGATGGGTCACATGACATCGATATACGTGGTGGGACGGATCCGCTCGGGCACTACGACAACGATGCCACCTATGGGTCACATGACATCGATTTACGTGGTGAGACGGATCCGCTCGAGCACTACGACAACGGTGACACCTATGGGTCACATGACATCGATTTGCATGGTGAGACGGATCCGCTCGAGCACTACGACAACGGTGACACCTATGGGTCACATGACATCGATTTGCATGGTGAGACGGATCCGCTCGAGCACTACGACAACGGTGACACCTATGGGTCACATGACATCGATTTGCATGGTGAGACGGATCCGCTCGAGCACTACGACGATGCCACCTATGGGTTACACAACTCTGAAAACCGTGATAAGATAGATGCGCTCGAGCACTACGACAACGATGCCACCTATGGATCACATGACATCGATTTCCATGATGAGACAGATCCGCTCGAGCACTACGACAACGATGCCACCCACGGGTTACACGACATTGATAACCGTGATGAGACAGATCCGCTCGAGCACTACGACAACGATGACACCTATGGGTTACACGACATCGATTTACATGATGAGGCAGAGCCGCTCGTGCACTACAACAACCATCCCACCTCTAGATCAGAGAGCTCCGTGCTCCTGGAGGAGGTGGGCTCCAGGCTGGTGGCGGGGCTGATACCCCGAATCAAGAACGGACCGGACGCCGGGATGGTGACAGGGCCGCCACCCGGCTGCAGCACCTTGGACTGGGTCCGCAGGCTGCTAAATGGCCAGTTGACGTGCCTGCCGCCGAAAGTCCCTCCACCCTGCCCCGAATGCTACTCAGGGTGCGGCTCTGAGTGCTGCTTTACGTGCTGAGTTCGACGCTGCGGCTCATGGCGCAGCGTACGCTGATACGGTCGCTGACGACGCGGTGCGCACTGATTGTCTCCTCCCCTCCGCCGAGTCCTCCCCTGCGGCTAACGACCCCAGTGCTAAACAGAGCGGGAGGGTCCCGCTGGCCCGCTTGCTGAATATATATATATATATATATATATATATATATATATATATATATATATGTATATATATGTTTATGTCTAAATATATACAGACACACACATATATGCATATATGCATATAATGTGTATATCCTGAATTTACAGAACTGAAACCAACGTAGCTTCAAAAAACTTGGACATCACATGCTGGTGACCAACCAAACTGGCGCTTAAGCAGTGCCAGTTTATTGCTGTGACGGGAAAAAGCCGACATATTTTGAGGCAGGGTGCCCACGCATATCCATGTCCCAACGATAACGCATGATTCCGCATTATTAATGCTCCTCTCAGTTGACCGCTTGTCAGCTTAGCTTGCGTGGTCGCAAGAAAGGTTAAAGCTACTCACCGCTCTTTTTGGTATGCGAATCACGCCACTAACAGGGAGCGAGTGCTGTCACCTATCGTCAACCTCGCGCATGTTGTGTCTTTTGTTGCCTCAAATGAACATCATCAGCGGTCGTCCAGTTTGGCCACCAGCAGTGCACAAGGCGCATGTACCACACCAGGCGGCGGCTGTTGGGCATCCAGGCATTTAAGTGCAAGTATCTGATACCCGTATATGAGTATCTGATGCACCTGTGTGAGTGCCTGATGCATCAGTTGCACGCGCTGGGCGTACGCTGCTGGTAAGGTCGGAGCAGTGTTTGCTGTTTGTAGCTTCTGTTTGCTGTTTGTGGCTTCCATGTTTGTAGTAATCTCGCGCGTGCCGTGCTGCAGTTCTGTATTTCCGCAACTGCTCTGGTAAAAGTCATAAACAGCTTTAAACGTTGATCGTGTTGTGTTCACCAGACGTGCTGGAAGTGCAGTATCTCGATCACGTATTGGCCATTTTGTGAGGACTAGTTTGACCTGGCTCCGAGCAGCTCATTCTTCATAACTCCCTTGAAGATGCAGTATCCGACCATGCTATGGTGGAATGCATGTATATGTAACAACTAACGTATCCATGCAAGTGGTGCCAATCATCACTGATCATCCACAAAGATCACTGATCAGTTTGCAGGCTGAAGATCCAGTTCTGTCCTCAGGGTCTGGCCTAATGACGCCTAATAATCTAGTCTTCAGAGTCTTGATAGTTGATATGACCGTTAAAAGGAGGCCACCATTTGACCACAAGCTCGAGAGGCAAGGATTGCTTCGGATTAGTGTTCCATTACTCATACCCATGAGTAATACAAGTGCTCGCCAAATTCGGGGAGGACGATTACCAATCTCATCCACGTTATCATTCGAAGTCTAAAGATCCAATACCAAGTTCCCAGAAATTCTGTGCAGTCATGCCCCAGATCTTCCCCTCCCCCCCCCCGCACCCCCCACCCATTGCTAGTTCCAGCACCCGGCTCATGCCCATTAGTGGCCACCGAGAGTGCGGCCTCGCTGTGCCGCTCACGGCCTGCTGTGACGCTGGGAGCTGTGTCCAGACCTGCTGTGACGCTGGGAGCTGTGTCCAGACCTGCTGTGACGCTGGGAGCTGTGTCCAGACCTGCTGTGACGCTGGGAGCGGTGTCCTGCCTGGCTCAAGTCTCGCATGTTTTCAGTCTGCCTTCGCGGCTTGGGGTCTTGCCTGGGATTGTCGCGCTTTGGAAATGCCCGAATTTGCCGCGTGTGAAAAGCATTTCCATCCTGCATCGTCGCTAGGGCGAAAGGGAGCAGTCCCCACACCTATAGGAGGCGCACCAGACGCCGCGCGAGAAAGTTACCCGATATGTCGCGATATTTGAGAGGTGCCCCAGACTGCCTCGCCACTGGAGGGTGTCTCGATATGCCGCAACGCCCATAGAGACGACCTGGCTGTTTATAGCAATGCTGAAATCGACCACCGTGCATGTCGTGTACGGTTCCAAATCGCATGATGCATGCGCCCTGTTTATTTTTACTTCTTGGCATTCGTGGAAATGTACCATGCAGCACGATACTGGGTGCGTTGAAATCCGGACATCCGGCGGCGGAGATCGGGCGACCCACTAACGGACGGCGGAGACCGGGCCGCTTACTGACCGGCGGCGGAGACCGGGCCGCCTACTTACCGGCGGAGACCGGGCCGCCTACTTACCGGCGGCGGAGAATAGGCTGCCTACTGACCGGCGGCGGAGAATAGGCTGCCTACTGACCGGCGGCGGAGACCGGGCCGCCTACTTACCGGCGGCGGAGACCTTGCCGCCTACTTACTGTTGGAGACGGGCCCCGGAGGCGGAGACCGGGTCCGGCCTACTGACTCGCCGGCGGAGACCGGCCACTACTGGGCGGCGGCCGAGACGGGCGCCTACTGACCGCGGCGGAGACGGGGGGGGGCCGCCTACTTACCACCGGCATGCGGAGGCCGGGCACCTACTACCGGCGGGGAGACACGGTTCGCCTACTTACCGTCGGAGACCGGGCGCCTACTGACCGCGGCGAAGATAGCTGCCTACTGACGGCGGAGACCGGCCCCTACTGACCGGCGGCGGAGACTGGGCCGCCTACTGACCGGCGGCGGAGACCGGGCCGCTACTACCGTCGGAGACCGGCCGCCTACTTACCGTCGGACGGGCCGCCCCTTACCGGCGGCGGAGACCGGGCCGCCTACTTACCGTCGGAGACCGGCCCGCCTTCTGACCTGCGGCGGAGACCGGGCAGCCTACTGTCCGGCGGCGGAGATCGGGCCGCCTACTGACCGGCGACGGAGACCGGGCCGCCTACTGACCGGCGGCGGAGACCGGGCCGCCTACTGACCGGCGGCGGAGACCGGGCCGCCTACTGACCGGCGACGGAGACCGGGCCGCCTACTTACCGGCGGCGGAGACCGGGCCGCCTACTTACCGTCAGAGGCCGGGCCGCCCACTGTCCGGCGGCGGAGACCGGGCCGCCTACTTACCGGCGGCGGAGAATGGGCCGCCTGCTGATCTGCGGCGAAGACCGAGCCGCCTGCTGACCTGCGGCGGAGACCGGCCCGCCTGTTCATCGCCCGCGGCGGGCCGCTGACTGAGGACTCCCAGTGACGTCATGCCAAGTGTAAACAATGATTTGATGACTTCGGCCCGTATATAGGGCTTTGAGTTTTCATCGGAAGTAACTTTGCAAGAGAGCCGAGTAAGGTAGTAGGGTAAGTAAGTAAGTAAAGCCAGGTAAGTGGGTAAGGAAGTAAGTTTGTAAGTAACTTTGTAAGAGGCAGGGGCGGCGCCAGGGATTGGAGGGCAGAATGCTACTGTTGGAGTTCCTGGAAAAATTGGAGCCTGCTCATAGGAGGCCTCCCGGGCAGTTCCGTATTCAAGGGGGAAAGGCACCGAGGGCATGTGCCACCTTATCAAACTGTTACGTGCATCCATATATACAGTTGTTTCGTGTATCCATTATGGACATAAGTGATATCAAAAATGGGGCCTTCTGATTTTGCAGCAAGCGGTCTCGCCTGCCTAAAACATGGCCTTCTTTTCCAGAAAAGGGCTCCTTGATGTATATAGGGCTGTCTCCATCTAGAACAAAGGGCCTTCGATTCACGAAAGGACCTCCAAATCCAGCGAAGAGGCCTCGTCATCCCACGTGATCCGCGCCGCGGCTTTGCAATGCATACATGCTGCAAGAGGTCTCCTGTTCCGAAAATGGGGCCTCCTGGCGTGTACACAGAGGAAGCATTCCCCTATAGAAAGCATCTTCTGTAGGAGGCACCCTCCTTTGGAGTGTGGCTTCTAACCCGGAATGAGGGCTTCCTAGTTTGCAACGGGGCCTCCAGAGTAGGCCTACATTTCCTAAACATAGTGTTGGGTCTACTTATCTAGAGCACGAAGAACATTGTTCATGAGGATAATCTCATCGCCCGGAAACGTTGCCTCTTGATGTAGATAAGGTCTTTTGAGCCCGACTTTTTACTCTGTGTCTCAGTTATGAGCCGAATTTCTGAACTTTGGTAATATGCTGATAGCTACAACGCCGTTAATTTGGTAAAAAAGGGGTTTCCAAGTGGATTTGAGGATGCAAAAACATACTCCCGTCCCTCCGTCGCGAGTCAAAGTTTCATTGGTAGCCCACAGACCATCCAAATTCACGTTTTTAGAGCCGTACGTCTTGAAAGACATACACACATATGCAATTGGCCAAATGAGCCAACATTGCCCACCGACTTGGCATTCTGCATGACCATCCATCCTTTGACGGAGTCTCCAGGGCAAACCACGACTTCGGGTGAAGACATCTGCAGTCTCTCGGCTCAATTGAGGCCACAGATGTACGCCGGCGTGCGTGATTGGCGTCACAAATCATTTGTAATTTCTCTTACTCAGACGCGTTCCTTTAGCCCTCTCAGCTCTGCCCGTGAGGTCACGGGTGGTAGAAGTGTGCCTTTTGTCGCGGACCGGATTTCGGCAGACTAAATTATCGCCAACAGCGTAACGCGGTACCATATGACATAAAACGGTTCTGAAGCCCATGCAGCCCAGAAGCGTCCTAACCCCATTATCAAAAGTTTCACTTAAGACCGCGATTTTCAATATCATACACACAATCAAAACGCGTTATTATACAATGCCCTTCAACAAACGCCAGGATAACTGCTGCTTTAAG